GCCACCTTCCTGCCATTGCCATTCCTTCAGTTCGATCTCCAGTTCTTGGGAGCAATCAAGATTTGATCTTGATCTCAATCTTTTGGGAAAAGATTGGTTGGAGCTGTACTCTCAAGCCGTCTAGTTGATTCTTGCGAAGGGTCAAGTTCTTTTGAAGAACATTGYTGATTCTGCTCCATCCTTCACTGTGCCAAATTTGTGAATCTGGAGTTGCTATTTATCTAAAAGTTTTGAACATTTAATATTTTTATTTTTGATCCGAATTATTCTTTATATTTTTAATGGTGTTCATGCATTTCCTTAGGTTTCTTATTTGGAACTCAGTTCAAAGCTCTATTTATTTCATTATCTTTTACTATCTCTTTCCTTTGTTTTAATCTTAGCTTCTTATATGAGGCCATTTGTTTATTTTTATTGATTATTCATTACAATATTTTATGAGACTGGTGTTATCTGTTGCAAGTTGAAGGATCTAGAAGTGCTAGGACAGGCCAAAAAGGACATGGATTGATGCAGTGAAAAATGATTTGAGGGCCCATGATTTAACAATGGATATTGTACTGAACAGAGTGGAATGGTGGAACAGGATTCTGCAGCCAACCTCATATAGTTGGGACAAGGCTTAGTCGAGTCGAGTTGAATATATTTATCAAACTGGAATTCTCAGGGAGTGCAGTTTCAGAGTCTCTTTTGGGTCAAAGATGGGAAAAAAAATCCAATCTTCTGATATTACTAGTGTTTATACTTACATTAGAGTGCACGGTCTTAAGGATAACATCATCAGTTGGTTGGATCTTAATGGAATTGATGAAGAATTTCTTGTATTAAGAGGATGAGGAAAGGGGGTTTCAGGGGTTTTAGTTATTGTTTTTGTTTTCTCTTTTGAGTTCTCTTCATAACAGGAACTTGATTTTGTTAATTGGCTGGTTTTGAATCCTTTAGCCTGGTTTCTATTGTTGCTATCCCAATATTGAAAGCAACTGGTTATGCATTACTTGCCTGTTGAAGTCCAAGTTTGATGAATGCTTGATGGTCAACTCATTTGGGGCAAACTGGAGGCATTCATGGAAGTGATAAAGTTGTTATCATTAAACTGATGTCCAAATTTATTAGGGTCAGACTCAAACAAGGTTGGAAGAAGGGCTATTATTTTAGAGGAAAGTTTTCTTTGCAATCCTTTTCTAGTTAGAGGATGCTCCATTGTTGTGACTAGGTGGGCCTTAAAGGCATTATCCAGATGGAGTAGCAAAATATAGAGCATGTTGGAGAATGGGGTAGTGTCATCCTGTCAACATTAGCATAATGTATTGCAATAAATTTCATGGTTCTTCCTAGGCAAACATGCAGATTGTAGGATTTTATGGTTTTTGCTTCATGAAGTGTTTCTTGCTTAATTAAATTTTTTTTGAAAGGATTTGATAGATTGGATCATTACTACCATCTTTTTTGGCATTGTGTTGGCAACCCTGGGTCATCCAGTGTACACTGAAAGCATGCTTTGGTCCTATCTTGGCTCTGAGTTGCAAATTTTGCTAAAGAAAAAGTTCTTGATCTTCGTACTGGTGCTTGGATTGCTAGGAGGTCTTGTCTCGTTTTTTTTGGCCACCAAAGGTGACTTAGTTAATGTTATTAGATGAAGTGATGGATATGTCTGAGGGCCATGGAGCTTGGGGACTTTCTACTACCTCAATGAGATAAGAGGAGTTCTGTCATCCCTGTTGGTCTAAATAGGATGGTTCCCTACAGAAATAGATTTGACCAGTAATGACTTGGCAAGATAGGGTGTTGAAAGATTTTCTTTGCTTATTTTTTTTGCTTTTTTCCTTTTTTTGGCATGGTGATACCAATATGCCTAAGTTTTATTCGAAGAGGTTGAGGCTGCACTCACATATACTTTCATTGTTATGTGTATCTTCGTATATGGACCCCTTTTACCGTATGCATCTTATTGTTGCATCCATATCCCCTGTTGGATTCTGATTGTTGGCTGAATTTTGCTACAGGTTGTTGCAGTTTGGGATAACTGAAATGGACCCAAAAATAGATGTTAGGACTGAAAGCTCCTCCATGCCCTCCTCCATCAGGACTAAAGAAGGGGACCAGTGGAACAGTAAACCAGTAAGCTGCTAATCTGAGGACTGTTTAAAGTGTTATGTCTTGTTGTAAACTTTCAAAGAACTGAACCATTTGTCACAAAATCAAAACTCCTTAGTTCAAATGGTCACTTTTTTTATCATTAACAGTTAAGATTTTATTAATGAACAAAGGATATCATAAATAAATTCATCAAAAAAAGGATATCATAAATAATTATATACAACATTATGCGTAGCATGCTGTATGTTGGGCTATTCCAAACTAGCCACCCAATTCATTTGTTTGCATCATACTATCTTTTCCCTTGGAAATGACAATAGGCTAGTTAAATGGGTGATCCAACAGACACTTAGGGTAATCCAAGATCCAACTGACATGCTTTTACTGGAGTTAGTTTGGCATGCATTCTTTTGTGTCTTGTGTTAATTTAGTTTTTGGACCAGCTCATCTTGGGTGGGCTGGAATTAGATTTCACTTAGTCTGACTGCTTTGGTAATCAAACCTATGTTCTTCCATGGATGCTAGGACTGCAACTTGGGTCAGATTAGCCTGTATCCAGCCTTAAAAAGTCCGGTTGGGCTGGGTTGAGTTGAAGTTTGGGTTATAGGGTTAGTTGAAAAGTATGAATCTGACTTAATTTTGGGTTGGTTTAGGGTTGATGCCTTGACGAGCCTGACCCAACCCGAACCCAACTTAACTTCATATTTGCATGTATAAATATTATATAGGATACATTACAGATTACCACCCTGTACTTTGGGGGTGGTGACACTTAACTCCCTGAATCTTGTTTTGCGACAAAGACCCCCATTAACTTTTAGATTTGAACACATTGTCCCTATCAGTTAACAGAGTTAATGATGAAAATAAAGTTACAAAATACCCATTCAGGATTCCATGAGCTGAAAGCAATAATGAGAAAAACTGGTCTCTCATAGACCCTCTCAAGAGACAGCAACGCTTCTGAGATTGTTGCTTCTTCTCTCTCCTTCGTTTTTCTCTCTGAAGTCTGAACTAAAAAAGGCCACAAATTGCTATGATTCAAGGAGGTCTACTAAGCAATGTTGGCCAAGCTGGCCGTGTTCAAACTAGTGGCCATGCAGTCAATTGACGACTAGACTCGGTGCCTGGCCCTGGTAGACTGGTAGTCAAAGGTGGGCTGGTAATGAGCAATCTGAGCCCTCCTATACTTACGACTATAAACAAGTTAAAGGGTAGAAAGCAAAGGAGTGGACATGATCCATGGCTCAAATTGCCAGTGGTGGTGCCATTGATTTGGTCAACCATGCTGTAGCTATGGCGTTTGGTCAAAGACGGAGCAGGAATTATGTATACACAAAGAATGTCTAATTCTCTGCTCAAAACTATTTAAAGGGTTGTAATGAGTGCTGTGTTGGGTGTGAGTTTAACTGTTCATATACAGGTTGACAGTGGTGGGAGGGAGGGCGGTGGCTACTCTATTTTCGAGTTAATTGCAGTAGTGGAGAGGTGGGGAGGAGAGAAAGAAAGAAGAAGAGGAGAAGAAGAAACAAGAGGGGAGAGAGACTCTGGTTTTCTGTTCAGTGGAGAAGAGGATGAAGAGTATATTTTTAAGGTTAGATTTAATTTGTCATTGAGAGGAGGAAAAATAGTCCTGGAATTAAGAAAAAGGTAGATTATGATTTAGAAATGTTTAATGAGCACATGATAGTCAGGTGAGAATATTTTTGAAAGTTAATTGACAGAATGCTAATGGAGGGGACAAAGTGCTGGAATTTGTAAGTTCAGGGGGATTTTTGTTGCAAATGAAAGTTTAGTGGGGTAAGTGTCACCATCCCCAATGTTCAGGGTGGTAATAGGTACTTTATCCTATTATATAAACATGTATTCATGTATGTAAGTACTTCTGCATATATGTGTAGACACCCCATTTTAACCATCCTTGTTCATGGTGTGCACATTTTGCATAATTTTTTTGATGAATATGCACATTTTGCATAATTGGAACACAATTCACACACTTCTCACACTTGGCGCATGTTTGGCACACAATTCACATAATTGTGCAAGTGGTTGCACAATTTCGCGTACTGCACAGAATTCCTGTAGTTTGGTATCTGCATATAGTTTACATGACTCATGTATTCATGCACATTTTAGGGACCAATTTGGATTTTAAAGTGCTAAACTAATTTTTTTGGATCAATAACCAGAAATAGTTTAAAGTACTAAACTATGTTTTGACACCTTTCGGACCTGACTTGAGACCTGGACGAGGACCTCTAATTTGTAGTTGCAGTACCAAAGACTCGGGCAAAAACAGGGTTTGAGTGAGTGTTGACACTTCTATCAGCCATAACTTTTGGTCCGGTGTCCGTTCTCAAGATATAATATATCAAAATGATTGGCTTGGAGAGAACTACACACTAAACTCATGCATCAACACTTGCTAGGCTCGCTAGTCAAAGTGCCATGCGGCTGGTCTGAAGCATTGTGTGGCTGATCCAGTGTGCCACACAACTGTTCACTCCTAGATGCCCAGATTGATGTTTTTTTTTTTTTTTTTTTGATAATTATGCCCAGATTGGTGTTTTCAACCTTTTACCGCCTCTAGGGTGTTTTTCTTACAGGAAACTTGTTTCAAGTGTTGATTTCGACCTTCAAAAATCAAAAGATGCCTCTAGAACCTTTCCAAATTGAATCAAAGTTTATTTAATTCAAATTCAAGAGGCACCTTGACATAGCCATGTCTAGGTTCAAGATTTTCCCTTTTGGAAGTTTGACCCTCCCAACTTTATAAACAAGGGTCTTAGGAGCCTTGGTGAGGAACAAACCACAATGCTCAAGAAGTGCAATTGAGTGGAAGCTCCCATTGTGGAGAGCAAGCCACTCTTAGGAGAAGAAGATTCTCCTTGTTCTAAATTTCTGAGTGTTGCTTCTTGATCTTGAGGGGCCTTCTTTAGGGCTGTTCACAGGTCGGGTTGGGTCGGTTTACTGCGGTTTTTCCAACCGACCCGATCTGGTCGGGTTACCTGACATAGAAACCGAAACCGACCCAGTGTTAAGCAAAACCGACCTGGTCGGTTTGAGTCGGGTTGGGTCGGTTTGGGTCGGTTTCGGTTCTAAGTTCATCCCTATGATAAAATCTTGCTAATTTTAAAAACAGTCATAAATTGAACATCATTTCAGCCATCTCCTATGATAAAATTTAAATGAAAAGTTAATCACAAAAGTTGTTCATTAATCACTATTCACTAATCCAAAGTTTATTGCAACCATTCAAAAACTAGGTGGCCTAATGGGCTTTGGAACTTCATGTTTGAACTAGGAACTAAGTCGGTTCAGTTCGGGTCGGTTTCGGTTTTCTTGTGTGAAAACCGAAACCGACCCGAATATCGGTTTAGGAATTTGCACAACCCGAAACTGACCCGTGCTGATGAAAACCCGGCCGACTCGGGTTGGGTCGGTCCGGGTTGGTCGGGTTGGGCCTTCTTATGAACAGCCCTAGCCTCCTTTTAAGTCTCCAGTTCACGTAGACTCTCTTGAGGTCTTTGGTTTGTGTGGGACAAGTTAAAGCTTTGGAGGTTGGGCCGAGGTGTTTGAGTCATAGTTGTGAAGACAAGCGGGTACTGTAAGAAGATTGTTTTTGGAAATATTGCATTAGAGGTTGGTCCATAGTTATTTGCATTTAGTTCTTAGCTTAGTATTATAGCATAGTTTTGGGATGTCTTTTATTGGCTCATATCTGTATGGAGTATGAACGTGATCCAATGAATAGGAAGAGCCCCTTTAGTTTTAATTCTCCTAGTTATTTGTTTAAATCCCCTTAATCATTTGCTTGCTTGGTTAGGGGTGGTCCCCATTGGTTTCTATTGTCTCCATAGTTATTTGCTTGCATTTTCTCACATGCTCATGCATCACATAGCATAATGGTGAATACTCTTATCTACTTGCTTACATCTCTTTCTTCTCTTAATAGAAGTCATATATGCTCATGCATCTTGTAGGAATTATAATAAAGTAAATGCTTTTATCTTCTTGTTTGCATCTTAACATACCATATAGCCTTGCATTTAGGCCATGTAGACTATGCTAGGAAATTGGGATTTCAAGGATGGAATTCTCTCCCTTATCTTGTCCATGGCATTCAAAGGTTGAGAGGAAATATGAGAAATCATCAAGTAATATGATTGGGCATTTCTTTTTATTTTTTTATATTTCTTTTTGGATGTAAACAAAAACCGGGAATTAGTAGAGGCCAAAATTTTGATTCCAAGAAGGTGTGGTGCCCAACCCCTTCCACAGTTGTACCCTAATACTTACCTAGATTGGTTTTGGAGCCACTTAAATGATTTTGGGACTAAAGTTTCTGGTTTTGACTAAAACTGTTTTCCAAAATCATCTCTCCCCTTTTTCCTCTCTTGTTCCTCTTTTTCCTAATTTTTGTGTAAAAATTAGGTGGTGATCCCTTTAGGTCCCCTGCTGACCCGAGCACTACAATATGTATGTATTCATGTTTGTATATGTACCTAGTCATCCATATATGCATATATCTATGTATTTATGTTTTTTTTTTCACTGCAAGTATGTATGCATCTGTCTATATGTATTTATGTCTATTGTATGCCAAAAATTTCAAGTTTAAAGGCAATTTTTTTTTTTTTTTTCTAAAACATGATGAATATGTTCTTTTACACATAATAGTGCTAAATTGATTTAACTTGAACCCTGGAGTCTAGAAAGTAAGAACACTTGGCAAAAAGGAAGTAGAGAAGTTTGGCCAACCCAGTGATTTAAAAGGCGTGCCTAGGTGCACAAGCGAGACACATTTTAGGGTAGGTGCCTCGCGCAGGTCCTAGGTGCAGCCCTTTCAAAAGGCGCATGCTTGATGCGCCTCAGGTTAGGGTCCATTATTTTTTTTTGTTAGAACTAAGAATTTAGGACCCTAACATGGACTTGTTTGGGCTTGCCTTGAGGGGCGTGGCACAAAGGTGGCTCGTAGAATCAGGAATGTAACATGTTTTACATCACATTAGCTACTT